CCCGTCCCGCCCAGGTCCTAGCGCCCGCGCCGGGCGGCTCAGGAGCCGGCACAAGGTCTACAGAGGCCAAAGGGGAAGGTTTGGTGGAACCTGGTCCCACCTCAGGTGGTGATGGAGGAGGACGCTGAGCGCCCGCACGCTCCCATCACCTCCAAGAGGAGGTGTCTGGCCTCCCTGGGAGTGCCACCCAGCCTGGAAAGATGAGGAGTGGCCACCCCAGGCTGGGTGCAGCTCAAAGATGCCCTTGAACTTGGGGGCAGGCCCACTGCACCCCAAGTGCTGATCAGAGCCCTGCAGATGAGAGCCCCAGAGGCCATCACCTCCATCAAAGAATCACCTTGGCCCAAGGTGGGGTTGGAGTGTACATGGGAACACTGGGCACTCCTGTTCCCCTCATTGATGTCATGCAGAGGGATCTCACAGGCTTGAGAGGTGGGCCCATGTGAACCTCAGGAGATTCAGCAAGGCCAATCACAAGGTATGGGGAGACCGGGCTGAGAGAGTTGGGGCTGTTCAGCCTGGAGAGGAACAGGCTCCAGGGAGAGCTCTCCTTGTGGCCTCCCAGTATGTGAAAGGGGCCTGCAAAAAAGTTAAGGAGAGGCTTTTTTCATGGACTTAAAGTGATAGGACAAGGGGTGACAGATTCAACAGGGAAGAGGGGAGATTTAGATTAGAAACAAAGACGTTCACTCTGAGGGTGGTGAGACAGGCACAGGTTGCCCAGGGAAGTTGTGGATGCTCCATTACAGATGATGTTCAAGGCCAGGTTGGATGGGGCTTTGAACAACCTGCTCTAGAGGGAGGTGTCCCTGCCCACGGCAGAGGGGTTGGAATGAGTTGATCTTTAAGAACCCTTCCAACCATGAGGATCGAAGATGAGGGTCTAAGACTCACTTGCTGCTGTGAAGTAGAGGAGCTCCCACTGGAGCAAAGTCTCCCAGAGACACCCACTGGAAGAACCTTTGGTAACTGGAATCTCCAAACCCCATCTCCCCAGAAACAAGCCCCCCTCCAGCACCCCCACAGCCCCTTCCCAGCTGCTCCAACACCAAGGGCAGACGACAGGCAACACATAGCCCTTGAGGCTGGGGAGACCCCACCCAAAGACACGACCAAGGAGCACGAGAAGGTGTGGGTTTTTTTGCTGCAACGTGTTTATTATGTGCCAAAAACTACACCACAGCTTACTCCACGCGCCTGTAGGAGAGTGCAGTCTTGCCTGCATATACTACAATGAGGTAGAGACTTCACACACAGCTTCACAAAACCCCACAAAGAGCAGCTGGGATATGCAACAATGCAACATCAGCTCAGCAGGAGAAAAAAAAAAAAAAATAAGAGGGAGAAATTATGACACTGGTTCTTTGGCACACAGCTTCTGATAGAGGGGAAAGTAAAAAAAAAAAAAAATAATAATTAAAGTTCAAATCCCAGCAGCAGCATTTCAGTTGACTGCACCATTTTATAAAGGAAAAAGGGAAAAAAAAAACACAAATTACACTTGTCCCCTCTAAGAGAAAGGGCTCCTATGAACCTTCATTCGTCCACCGAAATGCAGCCCTTTTTTATTTTTATTTTTTTATTTTTTAGCTAGTTACAAAAGAAAAAGTTAAGTCGTGTGACTCGGTGCGATTAAAAACCTCTATCAACCCCCCTGAAGTGCAACTTAAAAAAGTGCAACAAACTATTTAAAACTATATACAGCAGCTCAGAGATCCTTTATCCGGTCCAGTTTCATAATCCAGAAAAAAATAAACACCAAAAAAATATAGGTATTAAAGCCTGTCCTGGTCCTGTTGCAAACCCCTCGATTTACAACGTTCCGCCAGCAGCCCCCAGACACAAGTCGCAATAATGTTAAAAGCTGCCAGGAAAAGGAAGGAAAAAATAATAATACAACAAGGAAACAAAAAAAAATTTCTTGTTTTCAAACACCTTAAAAACTGTTCTTAAAGAGTGTAAAAAGGAACTTGGTAAAAACCCTCCAGCGTAAAATATGAACTATGGTTTTGGTTTAAATGAAGAGGCAAAAAGTCTCCGTGTTGTTACAGTAAAAAAACGGCGGCCAAACAGGTTTCTTGGGGGGTTCAGGCGCCGTTGGGGTGGGGGGTTAAACGAAAGGGAAAGGCACTGTATGGCAACGGCAACAAAACGGAGCCATGAGACCTGCGGCGGCACCGCTGGGGCTGCGAGGGGTGGCAGGAAAAAAAGCGCCTTTTGCACCACTCCAAAACCAAAAAAAACCCCCGGGCCAAGGCCGCATGTGGCCCTCGGGATAGAGTTTTATTTTTTTTTTGTTTTGTTTTTGGTTTTTTTTTGGTAAATCAGTGGTTTTTCTTCGTTTCAGGTTTTTTTTACCTTTTTTTTTTTTGCTTCTCAAACTAGGAACCGAAGTCTGGGAACTGCAGAATCATTTGAGGGGCGCTTCCCCTCGCCCCAAAAAAAACCCTACCAACTGAACCCCCACGACCAAATTCACTGTGCATTAGTGCAGAAACAAAAAGACCAGCGAGTGCAAATGTGGATGTAGGATTTTTGTTAATTTTTTTCTTTTTTTGTAGTTTTTCTTTTGCCTTTTTTTTCCCCCTCCCCAGTTAAGTCCTTCAGGAAGCACGTTCCCAGCCCCAGGTCTGGCACCACGCTTCATGCGTTCTCCGCTTGGCGGGGTCACCAAAAAAAAAAAAAAAACAAACAAACACAACCATGAAAAAAAAGTAAAGGAATTTTTTCTCCCTCGGCCTCAAGAGGCTTCTTTCTATGGCAAAAAAAAAAAAAAAACAAACAAACACAACCATGAAAAAAAAGTAAAGGACTTTTTTCTCCCTCGGCCTCAAGAGGCTTCTTTAGCTGGAGTCTCTGTTCTTCTGGTTGCGCATCAGTGGGCGGTGGTGGCGCAGGACCTCCATGGAGTGCTGCCAGTGCCAGCAGGAGCGGCAGAAGTACTTAAAGCAGATCTGTGGGGAAGAGCCAGAGGGAGGAGGATGATGCCCAACGGAGCGTCCTCCTCTCCCTCCACCCCCTCCTCGGATTTGCAGAAGTTCTGGGTGCTCCATCACTGGAGATGTTCAAGATTGAGTTGGATGGGGCTTTAAGCAACCTGGTCTAGCAGGAGGTGGCCCTGCCCATGGAATGAGGTGATCTTTAAGGTCATTTCCAACCCAACCTATCCCAGGATTTACGGCCTCTGGCAATTCCAGAGGGTGGAGCTTCCAGCAGGACCCCTTGAGTAGGTCTGAAAGCTCCATGAAGCTGCCAGCCCTTGGCCAAGCTTCTCTGCCCATGGAGGTCTGCCAGAGTCCTCTCTGTTGCGGACAACAGGGTGATCACTCTCCAACCTCCAGCTTGTTGCTACTCACCCACGGCACAGCTCCGGCAGCCCCACCTCAACCTCCTGGTGAGCACCAGGGCTGCACAACAAAGGTCCACCTGGAGGTCTTGGGTGAAAATGTCACCCTCTCTGCTCAGCAGTGGACAAGTGGTGGCCTCAGATGCTATAGCAGAGCCTGCTGCTCCTTGAGCTGCCCCAGCACAGCCTCACCTGGTCTCTGCAGAAGAATGGGCCAGGCTGGGTGCTGCAGACTTGGCACAGGGAGTCCTCCAGGTAGGGGTCGATCTGGACCTGCAGGAGGACCAAGTGGTGGCCATGGAAAGGTGCTGGGCAACCCCCAACAGCACCACCCTGCCAACTAGGTACCCCATAAGCATTCCCGGCACCCTCAGGTGGCAGAGCAGCGGTTCACCACCTCCTTGGGCCTCCAAAGGGACCTAGGGCAGAGGGTGTGGAGGTCGTGGGGCTCCCCACGGTGCCACCGACCCCACAGGTTCAACCCCACCACTGCCCCAGCAGCTCCACTCACCTTCTTGGTGAACTTGGTGGTTTTGATCTCCACAAAGGCAGCGGTCACAGCCTTCAGGTAGCTGCGCTGGTTGTTGAAGGATACACGGCCAGACCCTGGAACAAGCCACAGCACAAGGGTTAGACTGACCTGGAGCCCACAGCAGGAACTGATGGAGGTTGAGTCTGAGGTCCTACCAGCACCATACCTTCTCCACAGCAGTTCAGCTGCTGGCAGGGAAGCAGCTTTTGTGGGGCAATCGCAGAAATGTTTTGGTTGGAAGAGACCTTTCAGATCAATTCCAACCATTCCCCCAGCACTGCCAGGTCCCCACTGACCCATGTCCCTCAGCACCACACCTCCACGGCTTGGAAACCCCTCCAGGGATGGGGACCTCACCACTACCCTGGGCAGCCTGGGACAGCCTTGGAGGGGAAGAAACTGTTCCTCAGGTCCAACCTCAACCTCCCACCTGGGGCAACCTGAGGCTGCTGCCTCTTATCCTGTTGCTTGTTCCTTATGAGAAATGCCCAACCCTCACCTAAATTTTACCTTCTTCTAGGGAGTTGAGAGCCAGGTGGTCTCTCCTGAGCCTCTTTTCTCCAGGCTCAGCACCACCAGGTCCCTCTGCTGCTCCTCACCAGACTTGGGCTCTAGACCCCAGGTGGTATCTGAGGCCTTGTGGCTCTACCTGCAGGCAGCCAGGAGCAAAGTGGCTTTTCTAAGGACACCCCCAAGCTGGCTGAGACAGGCTTACAGGTGGGAGCACTCCCAGGAGGGCCTCCAGAGCAGCAGCTTTTATCTTCAGCCTCCCACTCCTCCTCTGCAGCTTCCTTGCTCCACTTGTTTCCAGCCAAGTTTTGTAAAGCTCCAGGAAAACATCTCCATGTCCAGGTGTAGGAGGAGCTTTGGTTGTTGGAAGCTGGCAGATCCCTGGAGCTCAGCTCACTGCTGGTGGCTACGGCAAAAAGTGTGGCCCAGAGCCCATCTACTCTTCTCCTGCAGCACCAGGCAGGGTGGAGGGCCTGGATCTGCTCTGCAGTGACACTGCCTACAGGGACTGCAGCTGCACTTGAGGGGGTTCTTCTAAAAGGCTCAATTCCATCTCTAGTGGGACCCCTGAAAGCCACCTGGGCTTTCTCTCCTGACCCAGGTCTCCAAAGCACCTCCTTGTGACTCCCCATTTCTCACGGTAGGTGACTCCAGCACCATCCTCCACTCAAAACAGTTCAGTACAAGGCAGGTGACACACCACGGTCTTCCCTTGAGGAACCTTCTGCCTGGTGAAGGAAGCCTGAGGCAGCATCTCAGCACAGAGAGATCTCACCTACTTGAGGGAGCAACCCAGGCACTACAGGAGGCCACAGGAGCTTTCAGGGACATGCTCCAGCACAGGGTAGGTTGGTGGTGACCATCTGTGATGACATTTAAAAGTTTCCTTCATCTCATACTTCCACCCCCAACCCCTTGGGACTGTCCCCCGAGAGCCACCTCAGTGGTCAAGCCCTGCAGCATCACAGGCATGTCCTCAACCCAAGCCTTGACCAGAAGAGCCCAAAAGTTGTCCAAGGACACTGATGAGCAGATGACAGCCCTGCACTATCTAACACTAACACACAGGAGAAGCCTCAGACCCTCCTTAAGAAGGCAACTTGGTGTGGCATGAGCCTGGAGAGCTGCTCCTCGTGCTCAGGCTGTGGGGTTTGTCCACACAGAGCAGTCACCAGTAGGTCCACCTGACCAGATGTCATGGCTGAACCACAGGCAGCAGACACGGTGCCTACAGCAGTTTGTGATTTCAACCCCAGCAGAGGAGGGAAGCGCTCTCCAAGAGTCACACACCACCCCCAGCACCTCCCACCCTGGGAAAGCTGATGCCCTGAGCCAGGGTGGACACAGCATCCCCCAGTAGGCCCAAATCAAAAGACTCAGAGAAACCTCTCCAGTGGTGCTGCTAGCCCAATGTGACAGCACCCTGAAGATGGCCCCCAAACCACCCAATGTCTCTTCCAACCACAACATTTCTACGGTTCTGCAGAGAAACAGCTACAAGCAGCATCTACCAACCATCAACAGCCCTGAACAAAGAAGGAAAGCCCTTCAGCTATGCCTAAAGAGATACTAAACACCTTAAGCTGCTCTAGAAGGACTCAGGACCTTCTAATTCCCAGGCTGCGGCTGAACATCTGCTCCCAGAGCAGGAGGTGGCAGAGCCCGGCACCTTGGGCAGTCTTCCCTACGGGAGGGCCGAGCTGGAGCCTCCTCAGAGCGTGGCACCAGCCCTGGTGGGATCCTCACTCACCGATGGGATACTTGTGCTTGTCCGTGTCGATGCCGGCATAGACCACCCCTCCGAAGAGGTCGCACATGACGGCCGCCAGGGCCTCGGCGTTCAGCATCCCGTGGAGGGCCCCCACGAACACCGTCTTGCTGGGGTCCAGCCGCTGCGAGGGGCTGCGCACAAAGTTGCTGTCTGCCAGCACCCAGGGGATCACCTGCACCTAAAAACACACGTCGGCAGGTTGGGTTGGCCAGGGACCTTCTGGGCCACACCCTGGGTCACTCCTCAGTGCCCTCAGCCGATGGCAGAATACATCCCAGACCCTTGCATTCCACCCTCAACTCGCAAATATCACTTGTGATTGCTGCTCGGGGTCCACTTCCAGAGCTCTGGAGCTCCAGATACCTCCAGAGAGCCCAGGAGGTCCATCTGAGGGAACAAACCCAATGGCTGCACCACTCTGCTTCCAACCAAACCAGAATCCAAACTGCTGGTCCCCTGGGGCTCGTGGCCAGGGAACAATCCATTCATGATGGGCTTCTCCCCACTGCCTGCACCTACATTTACAGCCCATGGAGATTCTTCCATGTGTTGGAGGAGATCACAGAATCATTACAACTGTAAAGCCAAGTAAACCCTGTCTCAAATTGCCACATCTGTGTGTCTGTTGAACACCTCCAGGGATGGTGACTCCATCACCACCGCCCCAGCAGCCTGGTCCAGGCTGATCAATGGAACAACACACCCATTGCCAACTCCAACAGGAGCCCCCATCTGCTACAGGGTTCAGAAGAGAAGAAACTTCTGCCAGAGCTACACCACCAAGTAACACCAGTAACAGGCCCTTGAAGCCAAGGTCAATGGTCTCCTGGGGTGTATTCGGAGCACAGCCAGGAGATGAAGGGAGGTTCCCCTCCCCACTCTACTCCACCTCTGGAGTACTGGGTCCAGTTCTGGGCTCCCCAGTTCCAGAGACAGGGAACTACTGGAGAGTCCAGCTCTCGTAGCTCTGAAGATGCTGAGGGAGAATCTCTGAGCCAAGTAAAGGCTGAGAGCCCTTGGGATGTTCAGCCTGGAGAGAAGACTCAGAGGGGATCTGATCCATGCTGAGCAAGAGCTGAAGAGTTCACAGGGGGGCAAGAGGCTAGGGCCAGACAGTGGTGGCCAGCGACAGGACAAGGGGCAATGGGCACCAACTGGAACCCAAGAGGTTCCAACTGATCAGGAGGAGAAAATTCTCTGCTGTGAGGGTGGCAGAGCCTGGAGCAGGCTGCCCAGAAAGGCTGTGGAGTCTCCTTCTCTGGAGAGATTGCAAACCCACCTGGATGCCATCCTGGGCACCCTGCTGTGGGTGACCTGCTGGAGCAGGGGGGTTGGAAGATACCTCCAGAGATCCCTTCCAACCCCCCCTATTCTGCGATAGAAAAGGTCCCCCTTCCCTGGAAGGTCAACCCCAGCTTCTGGCAGCCCCGTAAAACACCGATCTGACACTTCATCCAACCCTACCTCAGGAGCACATCAACAAGAGATGGCCAAGGGTCAGCTGGACCTTCTGCTGCTATGTCTCAGCCCTGGAGCAGAGCGACACCATGCACCCCTTGTCCCCAGAATCTCACCAGGGTCCCCTGCCGTACTGTCACCTGCAAGGCTCCTCCTCCTGGGCCTGCTCACCTCTTTGCAGCGCATCCTGCGGCTGGACATCTTGAAGTAGTACTCGCTGAGCCCGTCGGGGCTCAGGAGGTCCTGGGAGCACGCCTGGAGCAGGGCACGCACGGACTTCTCCGACTCGAACACCAGGTAGACGTACCCTTGGGAGGTGAAGGGACAGAGGTGGCGGTTACAACTGGAGCAGAGGGGGAATGGATCATCCCAGCTGGCAGACACCCTCAAAACCACCCTCAGAGGCCACCTAAAGAATGTCTCTTGCTGTCCCCTCCCTCTTCTGAAGGAGGGCAGTGATCTGGAGGCCCTGTCCCAGCACTCTACACATGAGATCCATGGAGCCCAAACCCAGCATGGCACAAGCAAGCAGGTTACCCATGCCCATGGGCCACTGTCCCCCATGCACAAAGCCACATCTAGACATGATGAGTGGGCACCACCAGCCTGGCCACAGTATGGTCAGCTGGAAGACAGACTTGGCTTCACCTTTAGGGTGTTGTGGCCTAGAAATAACAACTGAAGGCATTAAAGTCACTTCCATCAGTGCCTGCAGCCTGTCCCTCATGTTGCTCTGGTGACCAAACAAGGACATCAGGCACCACCAAGTCTACAAACAGGTTGCTCCTCACCCTGTAACATATTGCTGCTTACACAATACATCAGCGCATCACCTCCAGGATTGTGCTCCAGGCACTGCTCACCTCACCAAGCCCCAGAGCCCAGTGGCTACCCCGGGATTCACGTGTCCTTGATCATGGAATCAGACTGGTTTGGGTGGGAGGTGACCTTTTAAGGTCATCTAGTCCAACCCCCTTGCAGGGAGCAGGGACATCTGCAGCTAGAGCAGGTTGCTCAGAGCCCCAGCCAACCTCACCTGGAATGGTTCCAGGGATGGGGCAGCAACCACCTCTCTGGGCAACCTAGGCCAGGGGCTCACCACCCCCAGCATCAAAAATTTCTTCCTTCTCTCCAGTCTAAATCTCCCTCTGAGTTTCAAGCCATCCCCCCTTGTTCTGTCCCAACAGGCCCTATTCAAAAGTCTGTCCATCTTTTAAGCCCCCTTTAAGCACAGGAAGGTCTCCATGGAGCCTTCTCTTCTCCAGGCTGAGGAACACAGATTCTCCCAGCCTGGCTTCCCAGCAGAGGGAATCAGCCATCGCATCATTTTCTGGACCCCTTCAGATCTTCTCTAACACACCCATGTCCTTGTGCCCAGGGCTCCAGAGCTGGACACAGGGGTCCAACCCCAGGCCACACACGCTTCGGGTGCTCACGCTGGAGGTGAGGACCAGCAGCTCTCACCCAGAGCCAAGAAACCCCTGAGGTGGAGCTCTGGAACCTGCCCCCCTCATCCCACACTTCTGCCCAGCCCTAAGAGGAACGGGTGGGGACACCAGGTTCCAGGTGACAGCAGTGCTGACCCAAGGGAGAAGTGGACATTTACCCCAGGGTGTTCTGTCCCATCCAGTGACCAGCATGCAGCCGAACCATCTGTGCTGTAACATAGCATGGGGGGGAAAAAAGTAACCCTACCATGTCGCCATTACCTTTTGGCATATTACCTTTGGGAGGGCAGCGTGGGTGTTTGCCATCCTTACCAGGCCACTCCACACTCAAGGAGCCAAACACACGGAAGGTGTTGATCAATCCAGCTACAGAGATGAGGGGGAGGAGGAAAAAAAAGTCAGTGGATCCCCTCAAAAAAGCTCTGTCTGATCTTCTCTCCATTGAGGGGCTGCTCACCTTCCGTAATGTCCCACGGGACTCCTCCCAGGAACACTTTGCAGGAGTAGACAGGGTTCTTGTAGTTTCGGGGAGGCAGTTGTCCACTCCAGGTGCAGGTGGCTTCGTTCACAGCTAGGACAAGCACAAGCATTGCTCAGTTTACTTCCCACTCTCCCATAGGTCATCCCCAAATTCCACAGCTGGTTCAAGAGCTACAGCTGCCCAGCCAAGCCACCTGGTTTTTGTCATCAGGTACAGCCCAGAGCAGGGCTCATGGGTGGAGAAAGGTCTGATCTGCTAATCTGCACCTATGTGCCCTGTCAGGACCCCCACCGTGCATTGAAGCCTGCTGAGATGCACCATCCAACTCACCTGCTGCTTGCCTGTGAAGCCTAGCTTCTCTTTCAATACTGAAAGGGTCTTCTGGAGAGTCCAGGAGATCCCAAGAAGGCCACGCAGATGCTCCAGGCCATCTTTTTGATGCGCTGGCTGGAGGGGAAGTGACTGCAGCCAGGGCAGCTTGGTCTTGATCCAGTCGGGATCCTACTCCCATCTTCAAGGGGTCTCTCGACACCCCACTGAGAGGCAGGAAGGGCAGAGGAGGGGAGATGCGAAGGCTTGACTGCAAGAGAAATTCCACAGCTGATGGAAACCCAGCTGGCCAGCCTGACCACTATGGGCTCAGCCAGCTGGAGACCCAACCACTTGCAGATTCCACGTGTTGAAGGAGTTAGAAAAACGCCCAGAGAGGTGGAAGGATACATAAAGCAGTAGGGATGCGAGATGCTGGCACCTAGGCCATGCTGGAGAAGACCTGACCGTCAGAAATGAGGCCAGCACAGAGCTGCCATCATCAGAGACTTGGGGTGCTGCAGCTGCTCATGGTGTCCCTGCTCGAGATCCTGATCCTCCAAGGTGGATCATAGGAGGATCGACTCCATGGCAAGCTACCCGTGGCCTTCGTGCCCACACCAATGTAAAGGGTCAAGGCCACGGTAGCACCCATGGAGCTGGTGGCACAGGCCAGGGCAGCAAGAGAAGACACTCGCCTGGCTCCCCAACTTCCAAATTCAGCTCTGGCTTTAGGGAATGGGAGCAGACCAGACCCAGTTTGCTCCAGGAGAAACAACTCCAAAATGCAGAAGTGACATCAAACAGGAAGGGCAATGAAAGGCAGGGACAGGAGAGGTCCAGGTTGGAACTCGGAGGTGGCTGTGCTCCAAAATCACCTCCCTGCTGGGATCAGAGAACAGACACCCTCCCACCATGCTCCAGCTCAACCACTCCAAGCCCCGTGGGAGTCCACAGACCAAAATATTCTTTAGAGGGCAGAAATAAATGGATGGCTCCTTTTTGCTCGTGTGAGGAGAACCTCGCTGTGTCAGCGTGGGCACGACAGCTCCCTCCAAAACTCCTTCCCATCCTGAGGGCTGGGGCTTGAAGCTCCCCCTCTACAACTTCCCTGTGCTCCCCAGGAACCACAGGGCTGGTGCAGGACCCAAACCCACTTACAATCAAGTCTGAGAGGTGGTCAGAGCCAGAGCTGAACCCACTAGTGTCCGAGTCTGAGGGGCTGCTGGAGCGGGAGTCCAGGAGGGAGCGGGAATCCATGCGGGAATTCCTCAGGCTGGGCGTGGAGAACTTTTCTGACAGGTCTGAACCAATGGGGTCTAGAGGCATGAAACCCAGTGGAGGCTTCGCCAGGATGTTCCCAAGAGGGTTACTCAGCATGTTGAGAACTGCAACAGAGAAAGAATCCGTCAGTCCTGCAGCAGGGTACACCTTCCTTCCCAGCACAGGTCCAGCAGGCTACTGGGCTGCTGTCAGCCCAAGAATGGCTTGCCTGGGAGGTGGCACATCCCAGAGGTACCAACCCTCCACACAGCTCTGTAAAGGCCACATGCTCTTTACCATCAGTTGCAGCACAGATGGAGCCCACAGCAGCAGCCTGGTGTGGCCCATGAACCCATGGATGGTTTCCTCTCCCATGGCTGACATCAGCCAAGAGGACTTGTTTCATCCAGGAGCAGACACAGACCCCAAATCCTGGTGATGGACCTCATAGAGGTGCTCCAGTATAATATTACACCAGTGTTTCTTGCTGCTTGTGCTGGAGCAAGCTGGGAGCCAGCAGGACACAAACTGGAGGCCCCACCCCTAAAGACATTCACGAGTCAGGCTTGATGGGGCTCCGAGCAATCTGCTCTAGTTGCAGATGTCCAACCCCCCTGCAGGGAACAGGGACTAGGTGACCTTGAAAAGGTCCCTTTCAACCTAAAGCATTTGATGATTCTATGAAACTGGGCCGGTGTTGGCCACACACACCAATGGCCAGGCTGAGAAGAGCCCATCAGCTTCTCAAGATGGGACACAGCACAGGTCAGCCCTGACAGGAGCTGGCTCCTGGTGGCCAGCAACTGGCCAGGAGAAGAGGAGGTGCTTGGTGGCCACCGCTGGCCACCAGCTCCAGGACGTGCCAGACCACTGCCCTTGCACAGCGTCAGCTTTTCCTCCACCCCAGGAGGATGGAGACGAGCAAACTCCTCCCTAGAAACTTCAAGCAGAGTACCAGGCCACCAAGTGGTCCTCAAGGTCCCATCCTGCTCCGTGGGTCTCTGAGAAGGAGAGGGAAGGTAGGGTGGGCTCAGCCATGGGGCCACGCCACCAGCCAGCTCTATTCAAAAGGAGCAAGTCTCAGCAAGCCGAACATGTCCCCAGCACCAAACATTCAGAAATGGTTTTAATTATCTGGACAGTACAAAACAAGGCAGCTCGCCCTGAAGCTTCCCGTTTTCACTTTGTGATCCACTGGATCTCCTCCAGCCTTGCCTGACCTCACCCCGCTGGGGCTACAAGGTTTTTTTTAACCCAGATTTTTCAGAGGATAAAGAATCCTAAACCCAGCCCAAAATAGATAAGAATAAACTCCAACATTGTCATGCTGGAGCACACTATGGCCTGACACCGGCACCAGGAGAAGCTGCCCAGCGTGCCTGAAGATGCTGACGTACCTGTCCCAGGCCACGGTATCCAGGTGGGAAGCCACAGCCCAAACCCTCACTGGTAAATAAAGCCTCACAACTGACTCTCAGCAGAGCTTGAGCAACAGCAGGGAGTGGAAGAAAATCTCCAAGAAAGAGGGAGAAACTCCAGGAAAAGGGGGGGAAAAAACCTGAGGCTTGAGGCGGGGAGGAGGCTGCTCCCTCTGAGGCACGGCGCAGGGCAGAGCATCTCCCAGCCCAGGCAAGCTGCACTACGCTGCTTTGACTTCTCTGAAGCCACGTGATGCGTTTAAAAATACAGCCAGGGTATTGTTCAAGGGAGACAGCTGAATTTGTTAAACAGGCTCCAAAAAAAAATGTGATTAGTCACTAAACAGCACAAGAGGAGAAGTGAAAGCAGCTGATCCCACGGCCAGGGCCTTGCTGCCAGCCTTGGCACCCTCCTCCTCCACCGAGCGTGGTGGGTCCAGAACCCAACCCTGTGTTGACCCACCCCCCCGCCCCGTGTTTCTGAGAGATCCAGAGCTGTGGTGGTGGCCACCAGACACCTCCTCTCCTGCTTAGGGGAGATCTAGGATCAGAACTCCATCTGGGATGTTCCAGCAAGGGTTCTGGAGCTCCCCAAAAGCATCTCAGGGTTCAGCTGCTCTGCCTCACGTGTCTCACCATCATCTCTGCCACCACTCTGACTTGCTACGGCTCAAAAACCAGTAAGGGCAATGTAAGTGCATTGAAGGAATGGGATTACTGGCCTTTGAGAGGATTTACTAGCTTGGCATCTGAGCTTCAGCACCTACCACCAGAAGTCCTGCTGACACTTGTGTGGGGATCTGGATGTGCCTCCTGGAGTGAGCCTGGGGAAGCAGCCCAGGGAACATCAGCATGAGGGACCAGGTCATCTTCAGAACCTGAGGGCATCCTGCTCTAAGCCATCGAACCCCTTCTCCTGGGGGCTGGGGCATGAGGTTGCCCACCTACAAAACCAGCCCAGGAGTCCTTTGAGCCACCCAATAAACCTACAGCTCTGCCAGGGAAGTTGCTCTCGTCTCCTCTGGCAAGCAGGAACCACACAGAAGGGAAAAGCCCATTTCTCCAAGACCCACACAAGATGCCTCAAGCCATTTCTGGTGCTTAATGAATCTATGAGTTAGGCCTTCCCAATGGCTTGCCCAAGCCCATTTTAGAAGATCTGGATGGTAAAGGTGACCCCCAAGGAGGCTTAGTGAGCTGAGGGAAGGGCTCTGGGCACATTGAACCCCTGCCCACCATGCTGCTGAGAAATGACACTTGCATCTCCTAAGGTTACTCCTAACAGAGCTCTGCCACCATCCAGCTGTCCTCAGAGCAAGGACTTCTGCTTCAGCTCAGCCTGCTGGAGACCACCCAGCAGGACAATCCAGGGCAGCACTGATGCTCTTAACTAAAACTGACACACCAAGGAGTGATCTGGAAACTGAGTCCTGCCCAGGATAAAAATCTCTCCCAGCCTTACAGCTGTCCAGGTCTTCCTGCTCCAGGTCTTTCCCCACACCATAAGAACATCAGTGGAGGCCTCCTCACAGCAGGAAAGAGCATTTACAGAAGTTGTTTTGGTTGGAAGAGACCTTCAAGACCACCAAGTCCAAGCACTCCCCCACCTTTGTCAGGTCCCCACTAACCCATGTCCCTCACCACCACATCTCCACAGCCTGGAAACCCCTCCAGGCATGAGGACTCCACCACTGCCCTGGGTAGCCTGGGACAGGCCAACCCTGGCAGGAAAGAAATTGTTGCTTAGGTCCAACCTGAAGCTCCTCTGCTGCAACTTGAAGCCATCTCTTTTCTTCCCGGTGCTTGTTCCTTGGGAGAGGAGACCATCATCTATATGGCTCCAGCCTCCTGTCAGGGAGTTGTCAGAGCCAGAAGGTCTCCCCTGAGCCTCCTTTGCTCCAGGCTCAGCACCCCCAGGTCCCTCAGCTGCTCCTCACCACACTTGGGCTCTAGAACCTTCCCCAGCTTCATTGCCCTTCTCTGACCATGTTCCAGCCCCTCAAGGTCCTTCTTGGAGGGAGGGGCCCAAAACTGACCCTGGGATTCAAGTAGCAGCCTCCCCCGTGGATCGTCCAGGAGGATGATCCCTGCCCTGGTCCTGCTGGCCACCCTAATGCTGATCCAAGCCAGGGCGCTGGTGGTCTTCTTGGGCACCTGGGCACACACTGGCTCATCTCCAGCCAGCTGTGACCAACCCCCCAGGTCCTTTTCCACCAGGCACTTTCCAGTCTCTCTTCCCCCAGCCTAAAGCATTGCAGGGGGTTGTTGTGCCCCCAAGGGCAGGACCTGGCCCTTGGCCTGGTTGAACCTCATCCCATTTGCCATAGAGCAACACCCATCACAGCTGCTTCACCAACCTAAGGCACACGCAACCACGCACACGAACGCCCAAAACTCCTGCCACATGGAACACCATGCCAAGCCCAGATTCCAACCTTACCACCAGCATCTGGCACCCACACACTTCACACACCAGCAGCTCAATGCCATGCTTGGCCCTGGCACAAAGGGCTTTTCCACATCACCCCCTGAAGGCCAGTTCCAGCCTCACTGCAGGGCTGGAAAAAAAAAAAATATTTGAAAGGAATCAGGACTTGCCTGAGCAGGTTTACAACATTGAGACCTTCAAAAGGGTCACTTTTGCTGTTTGGTTCCACCAACAATGTTCAACAGAGAGACTCTTCCATCTCCAGATATAGCAGAAGTTGGTCTGCTGGGAGATGATTCAGCACAGGAGGGACAGCAGAATGCCAAGACCTCCCCTACAGCTTTCTCTCCAAGTCCTTCCTTCCACCCCTATCCCCTGGCAGGGGCAGAAAGCTCTTACCACAAGAAGCCAGGCCCAGGAGCTGGGTTTCAGTGCCACTACACACTTCTGCTTCCACTCAGACACCTGCCATGCCCAGAGGCCACGGAGCCCCATGGCACTTTTGGGGCAGGGTGGTGGAGGAGGAGGGAAGCAGCGTGACCGAGGCCCTGGAGACTGAACACAGTGCAGTTTCTTTTGTTATTTGTCAAATAAGCTTGTAAAGAAGAGGGGGGGGGGAAAAGGCTGATGTCCTAAACAATAGCCTGCTGCAGTTCCAGAAAAACAGCTCGTCTGCAGTTTTTACCGCCCAGCCAGGCTCTACCCTGGTGGGGTGGGAGCCGGCTGAATGTTTTAGTCAGCCAAAAAAGCAGCACCTCCTACAGACACCAAGCAGCTTCGTGGCAATAGAAACATTTGCATGTCTGAAAGGCAAACGGGCCCCTCAACCACCTCCTACAGCTACAGCAAACGTCTCTGCTTCGGAGCAAGCTGCCAGGGAGAGTTTTCCCCCCAGCACTGAGCTGCTGGCTGCAGGGGAAGGGCTGATACCATACCTAGGGTTAATTTCAAGTCCTAAGTTTTAGGACTTAGCAGCACAGGGATGTTGGATTTCCCTCCTCTGTCCAGGGCTGCAGAGGTAACAGCCAGGCTGTGACAGGCACATGAAGAAATAGGGAGAATCTGCAGGAAGAGAAGTGGCAGAAAGATTTCTTCCTCTAAGAGGAACAGCTGTGGGCAGCACCCACAGGTGGAGGGTATCTCCATCCTTAGGACCTCAGAGCTCAGTGGACACCCTGAGAAGTCCTGTCCTGTTCTAATCCTTGCAGTTTGGTTATACTCCTGTTATTCCATCAGAAAAACAAGCCCCTGCTGTTAGGAGAGCCACTACCTGAAGCCA